TTATTTTATTCTCATTAAGAATTACATTATACTTTTTTTGACTGAAAGTGGAGATCGATATCGGCGTTGACATCTACAATTGGTTAATTTCTACAGGAAAAATACGCCTTGAAAATCGGTACTCAAAAACTTATATACTGTGAGAACAATAACACGGATATTTTATTCTACTTCGCATTGTCTGAGGTATTGTGACCATAATTCCGTGGGAAAGTAAACCTTTACCAGACTAGTTCTCATAGGAACACTAAACACATTAAAGTAATAATTACTCTGGCAATCGTTCTAGTCTCTGTAAAGCATATAATGGTTACAACTTACGCTAATATATTACCATATTAATATTTGAATTTCAATAAACTTAAATAGTCTACCTTTAGCTAATTTATTGAATAACTGGAAGAGAGCCGCTACCATAAAATGCCTTTTCCAAATTGGGAAAACTTTTCTTATTATAAACAGATTGATAATTTTAAACCGTTTATAAACCGTGCTACTTTATGCGTCATGCAATTAGCGCGCCGTTAGAATACTCTTACAAGTATTACGTTTACACATGTCCAAAGTTTCTCAATATAAACTGATTTGTTACTCACTATCCCTTGAATAACTACATGTAAACAATGCGTGCTTTCTTCCTCAACTTGCTCGTTTCGCTGAATATATTTTTACCAGCATCTCTTAGTACATTTCTCGTTGATGGGTTAACCTCGCAGATAACACTAGTCCGTAATACTCTTCAGCATTATTGCGCTTGTTTACTTCAAATGATTTTCGATCCATCCAACAGCATTCGACAAAACAAGTCTATGCGGATGATTTCTCCAATCATCACTGTTACAATCATTAGTCTTTTGATAGCAATATTCCTCGCCATCCGATTGCTACGTCTACAAAAACAACTCAAACAAGACGAGCAATTTGAATACTGGAAACGCTCTGGACCCAGTGCGATTTCTACTCACAGTAACGCAACGAAACCAGTCAACAATGAACTGTTTGAAGTGAACGGCCACAAACTAGAGGAGGACATGTGGTTTCATGAAGATGACAATTCAGACGCTAGCGAAGAATATGTCAACAATATAACTGGTTGGTATGATGGCGAGTACGGTTACGTACGCCCCAGTGAGAATGAGGATGAAGTAAGTGTTTCTGACGAGATCTCGCTCAACGACATCAAGGTAGAGGTAAATGACGAAATGAATCCAGAGGAGGCAAACACCTATGATGATTTGCGTAACGACCTAATCGTTCCAATAATAAGAGTGAGAAGGATCAACCATTTTTCTCCATGAACCAAAGAAATGCTTGGTATTAAGAAATGTAAACAAACGCAGTTGATCATGAGATCAAAATTAATATACAAGCACGCACGTATCATGAACATTAATCGAATAAAAATTGGTATTGTGCTTGGCTTTGTTGTAAACAACGGATTACTTTTCATAATCAAATGCATACTACGAGTATTCGCTCCCGTCCTTATCTCTACTAATTACATATTAAATACGGCTCATGCGTTCTGGTACCATGTGACAAAGTCCATGCACCTTGCACGCATAGGCCTGTGGCACAAGCCTTATGATCGGTCCAATGATGTGAGGTCGATAATTAATTCATAATAACAACCAAATGGACGTTAAAATTATTAATTTACAACTGTCATTGCACGGAGTGACGTGATAATTAAAGTTGATAACTTGAAGTATGCTGAAAAACGAGTACACAGTCTCATTAATGCTGATAGCTAACATAATAATCGAAATAGTGAGACAACGAAGACGAGGT